AAGTTTGCCATTTTGATGGACCTGTTGAATTTTGCTAATTTTTGCAAAAAGTTTTAAATCTACATTTATACCATTTTTTAGGTTAACGAAAAAATTGTCTAATGAAAAACATTAGGGCAGTTCAGGATGTTGTGGAAATGGTCTTGGATTTTCAGTTGGAATTACATTTGCAAATTCTTGCTTGCTGCCATGGCTACCGTGTCCATTTTGTTGTTGTGAATTTACAAATGCAACGAATATGTAAATCAAAGAGCATATGCACAAGATCCTGAACAGCCCTACTGTGTTTATTGTAAAAAGATCACTGTCCAATTTGGAGTGTGACGCACTGTAGTCAGTGTTGCCAGAACTTTTTGGACGAACCGGCTAAATTGGCAAATAAAACCGGCTAAAAACGGCTAAAATGTTTAAACTAAATTTCACATGTTTTATTTAAATAAATCACGAGTAAAAAGACTATTTCTTGGAGAGGAGTTACAAATTCGAGTCGGAAAAAATTTTGCCAGCAAGAATTTGCAATTAGGAAAAACATTTGATTGTGGTACATGGTTGGATTTTTTGTCGACGATAATTTGAATAAACAAGTTCGTGAAATTTAAAACTGGAGCGATTTTAAAATGAAAAATGTAAGTTAATACTTGTTTACTTAATTAATTTAGATAATTCCAATGATTTGAAAGGTACTCGGCAAAAAAACTGTATTCTTAATCGGAATGCAATCTCAACCTGAGTCGATATAGTAAACCCGACAAAGAAATTGAATCGTATGTTGAAGAAAGTCGGACTGACAAGATATATACACGTAGATCCTGTTTTTTGTCCCTCTGAAAGAATTTTAAAAATTCTATACAAACTTCTTTTGTTTGAAATGCAACCGTGGACACTAGCTGGCAGAAAAGCTTGCAAATTTGCGTTCGTACAGAAAATTGCAAGTTTCTCTACATGAGAGAGAATTTGGGAGCAGTTTTTCTTACTTTCTGATATTTTGAGTGATAATTCTCGCTGGATTTTCGACGAACAAACCTATTGTCTTCCCTACAAGGCCTTTTCAGACTGACCGATTCTCAATACACTCAAATAGAAACCAAAACACATAAAAAACGCTGTAAAAATGTCCCTTCAATTTTAAGGCAGTAAAACAACGACCTTAAGTTAACATCAACAGAGGCCATATGTTGACAAGGGATGCAAAATCACAGTTACACAAAAGAACTGGTCAGATTTTTCAGAAATCCCTTCAATTCTGATGTAAAATATGATGCCAAAAGACTGCAGATCTCCCATTTAGGTGACCGGTCATATGACCGGCAGATGTCTCGTAGGATTCCCAGAGAGTTTTGCTTTACATAGAAATTTGTGCTCTTTTATTTTCATTTTGACTCACTTCAGTGTTGGTTCCTTTAGTTCAAGTTGGCATTCGGTTTTTGGAATTTAAATAAGTTCTCAGCAAAAAAGTTTGTTTAAAAAAATACATATGTGTACATAGTGCTTGAAAATATCAACTTTTCCCTTACCTTAAAACTTTGGGAGTGGGCAAAAATGATGTTTTGTAATTTAGGCAGAATTGAATATGCGCTATCTGGGAAGACAATATCTACATGTAATATTTATTCTGTTTGTTGGCACTATATCCAAGCACAAACGCATCTTAAGTGTCTTAACAGTGAAACAATTTCTTATTTTCTAAGTTTGCGAATAAAACTTCACACTTAAAATTAATACATTTATAACAAACATTTTATGAAGAAAATCCCTTATTCGTTTAAAATAAAAATAAGCGAAATCGGCCCAATTTCATACATCCCTGCCTGATATGAAAATTTTCTCCACGATATGGCTAGTAGCCCTTTCTAACAGATTTTGGGTCGCTTAGTCAAAAATGGAAACATACATATTTGAAATTTAAGAAAACAAGGCAAATAGCCAAATCGGCTAAAAACGGCTAATTTTTTTCTGCAAAGCGGCTAACAAATCGGCTTCCGGCTAAATCGAAATTTCTCCGGCTGTTTGCTATCGCAACCGGCTAAATCTAGCCGGAAAACGGCTAAAATGGCAACACTGACTGTAGTTGGTATACAAAAAAAACATGAAAAAGTGGAAAAAGGAACAACAGTTTCTAAGGCGAACTTAGGGCAGTGGGTAGACCACTGGCTTTGTAAGCTGGAGTCGCTGGTTCGAATCCCATCTAACTCGATGAAGAAGCCTGATGAGATGTGGTGATCTCCGAAAAAGCAGATATAATTCCTACCATTCATAAACTATTGTTGTTTTTCCACTATAATTTTCCACAAAAAACGGCCTCAAGCTCAATAAAAATTGTTCAACAAAAAACAAACAAAAACATATAGAAAGGGATCTTAATTCACAAAGACCCCAACCAACATTTTTTTCGAAATTGCGTATTCCACAGATTTTGGTAGGATATATTAAAATACACCTGCAACAAAAATTTTAAAGTGTTATTACCAAAAACAACGGAGTTATATGCCACTTTAAAAAAGCCCTACCTGTTTTTGATATTCTTTTTTATAACGTTTTTTGTTCTGTAAAATTTAAATTTGTTGCTTCGGGCCTTTGTGAATTGTGAATTAAAGTAACGATATGCCACTTTTGGGATGTTTATTAGACTGCTAGACTGAACATATTCTCCTTATCGAGCTTAATATTTGTATGATGATTTCTCCAAAAACGTGAATTTTGTATTAACTCACTATATTATGAAACGCGCGATATGGTTGAAAAGAAAACAAAAAAATCAAGTAATAAAAACTAAGAAAAAGCACCAAAGGATGTTCTGAAAGTGATAAGTTTTCGGATCAATGCTGTTAGCAGAGTTGGGGTAGTGCACTAAATTTTCAGTTTACATTAGTAGCTAGTGATAGTGCAAACTTTTTCACTACTAATTTTGCTGTTTAGTGGTGAATTGCAATATATCAGCCTCACTATACAATAGTGATAGTTAAATAAAAATAATTTTCACCAAAATTAACAATCGAATAGTGAAAAAAAAAAAATTCGGCTTACTGAATTATTTTTTTCTTCACTAAAATGGATATCGAAGGCTTATATTCAATACCCTCTATCTGCACTTTTCACAAAAGTGAGATTCTGATATAAAAACCCACCTAGGACTTCACTGTCATCGGTGATATTAATGCTTACCTTGTATAACGCTTGATAGAAGAATTTACTATTAAATTGCAAAGTCGCAATTACCATCAGTGATGACAGGTAGGTCCCAGATGGGTTCTAACACCACAAAGTAGTTTTTGTGGAAATTGCAGATAAGCCCTCGATATGTAGTTAAAAAAATTCAACCCTAATGTTTATGGAACTTTTCATTAAATTGAAAGACGGAGATAACAGTTTATAGCATAGTTTTATTTTTTGCTAAAACATTTACATGCTTTGCGTTACCAATAAACCTTTCAAATATCAGCCAAGTTTGATAATAATGACTCAACTTCAGGCCCGCCTGGGGCCAATTTCATAAACCGGCAGTGATAATTTTGTAACGACAGGCATTTTCCATGTTGTCAGTGACAATTCGACAGTTTGGTGGGTGTTTTGTTTCATAAAAACAATTGAAAAAGTGACAAATTGTCATTGTCGGGGTTTAAAATTTTCGTTGACAAAATTGTCGCCAGTCATGAAATTTATATGTAAATTATATGTAATAATTTCATTTGCATTAATTTAGTTTTAAGAAATATTCAAATTATTGAAAAGTAATGAAATGCGCGCAATTACCATATAAATAAATTTACAAATCTCCCCTATGAAAGCTTTCCGACGGAGCTATTTGGTTTTCTCGCCATTGGCGCAACAATTTTGTCAGAGTGACAATTGTCAGCACCATCGTACATTAGTAAAGTAACTCTTCTTCTTACTTAGTGTATTGGTGTTTTTGGTTCAGTGTGTTAGTGTATTTTGAATAAATTGTTATGAAACTGTACGACGATTATAACTGTCGTTTTCTAAAAATTTTCAGTTGCCTTCAAACGTATATGAAACAGGGAAAAATTCAGCGACAATTGTGGCAGTGACATTTTATAGAAAAATCGAAAATTGTCGCACCTGTCACTTTTATGAAATAGGCCCCTGGTGAGATTTTATCAAACCTTGTAGGTATTGTTAATAACGATCCCGCCAAGAAAAGGATTATTCAGGTCAGTCAAGTCAATCTCAAGTGAAGATGTTACATTTGCACATACATACATGCGGTATATGCAGCTTGAAACATTTTATTAGCATTAATTTTTGAAAGTTAAGTGAAAATATTTTTATTTGCAGCTCTTACATATATGTAAGCTGTACTGACTGTTTCAATATTGGTATATTTGAGTTTAGTGCGAGTTTATTCACCACCACTAAATTTAGTTATAGAGAAACAAAATAGCACTATCACTAAGGCTTTTAGTGGTAGTACAGAAATTTGCCACTATCACTAAGCTGGTGATAAATATAATTTCTTCCAATATATTTACTGCTGGTGAAATCAGGGTACGAAAATAAACTATATTGTACGTTACTATTTCGTTTCGTTTAGTACTTCAACAGTTCGGTACAATACGAAAACAAAACGGCTGAGTTCACTTTGGCGATAGTACACTACAGTAGTTTAGTAGTTACAGACGAAACAACAAACGAAATGAATCGTGCAGAGAAAAATATATATATGTATGTACACATATCCAATAACTAAACACAAAACAAATAGCTGCAATGAATAAAAAAATAAAAATGTTTTTTAATTGAATTGGATATGAAAATTTACAGAAAAAAATATTTTTCACGTAATTGAAACATTTGTGATATCACCCTATGGCACAATTGTCACAAACGAAAAGCAAACGTTTCTAGTTGGGGAAAATGACAGTGAATCTTACAAATTGTTTCTGACTCTGTACAAAACTGTACAAAACCACAAATGATATGATGATCGATGAGCAAATGGGAATTGTTTCGTACAGTTTATTTTCGTACTCTGGGTGAAATGCCTAGTGCACTACCCCCAACTTTCGCTGTTAGAAACAAAAATATTTGTAAATACATATACTATATGTATAAAGTATTTTAAAGGAACCAGTTCTTGTTTTATAATGGCTACACAAATCTGTATTAAAATAATCGACGCAACTGCCCTGGCTTGACATCATTTATATCAAGCATAAGAGTGGAAATTTTCGAATAATCTCCTGCTCCTGGTTTTTAGGGAAATTTTTCCCTGAGATTTAGAATTGCAGAATGTTTGCTCTAGAAAAGTAAAATCTGCTAGAAGCTAAAAGGGGTATTTCGAATCGGGCTGATATTAAAAATTTAAACTGCTTAAGAAAG